TGGCAGCGGAGGAATATCTGGGGAGACGCTGGTGGGACAGGCGGCACGTGCTGACAGGGCTGCGTATCTTGGCAGGTGTTGCATGATGTCTGTCAACACCCGGGCAGCTTGCTCCTTAAAGATTGCCTCTCCTCATGCTGTGCCGCTGTGTGTAGGAGGGTGTTGGTTTTTTTTTTTTTCCCCCCAAGACGCTCGTGCACTTCCTAATTCTGTTTTTCTTTTGAAGATTTGGATGTTTTTCCAAGCCTAATCACAGCTGACTCCCAGCTGGGGTTTTTTTCCATGGCATCTGTGTCCAGAGAGCTTACTGGGTGGCAAATCCCATGGACGTGCCCCAGGGGGACAACTTGCTCGCTGCATCGGTGCCAGCATGCAGCACAAACGCCAATGGGACGCGTGTCTCCGGGGCAGGGAGGGGTGGCAGGGTGCCGCTCGAGGGTGCTGCCGGTTTGCCGGTGTGCTCGAGCCGTGAGGACAGGAGGGTGCCCATGGGGTCGGACAGCACAGGGGTCTGTGCCCTCCGGCACTGCCGGGGAAGAGGGACACGCTTGGAGCGTCGGTCGCTGCTGGCAGAGCGCCGTGTAACCCATCCTGTTCTTCTCCCCCAGGACCTGTTTGGGAAGTCAGACCCCTTCTTGGAGTTTTATAAACCAAGTGACGATGGGAAATGGATGCTGGTTCACAGAACAGAGGTGAGCGCAACTCTGACCCGAGCTGCTGAGACACCACCGTCTGCAAGCAGCTCCTCTTGCCTGTTTTGGCATTATCTCACTAGTCACACATAAAGCGGGGTGGGAGCCCAGGATTTCAAAACCTCACGGCCGCTGCCACTGCATCCAGCTGAGGCTGCTAGGCTTCAGCAGATAAACATTTACCAAGGCCAGTCAGGTCCTGAGGTCTTTTCTGCACTGCTCACTGCTGTACCTGCAAGATGGGCTTTTCACCCGTGTTAACCTCCTGGCTCAGCCTGGGCATGGGCTGTGCCCTGGACCCCTCACCCACCCTGTGCCAGAGCAGTGGGATGAGCTGTGACCCGGGGATATGGTGGTGGGAGGTGGCACAAGGAACGGTGGTGGGGAACAGTTAAAATGAGCATTTGCCAGGTCCTCAGCTGACCTGGGAGGAGGCTCGGGCGTCTCCAGCTTCAGTGCATGAGCACTTGGGCTCATGTCTAATGGAGCTGGAGCCCTGACAGGGAGGCAGAGACCTGTGTTGGTCCCGGTGGGTATAGTCCGGGGCAGCTGACCCCTCCCCATCCCTTGTTTAAACCCCCTGTGATATTTTGATCTGAGCTCCCTTCCGTTACGTTCTCCAGCTGCTGAAGACAGTAATGTTGCAGACACAGGCAGGGAGCAGCCGGCTGGCTCCTGCTTTAGCACCACGTTAATACACTTTCCCCTTCCTCAAAGCTTCTTTCAAGGCGGATTTTTTTTTTGCACATGGCTGCTGGCAGAAAGAGGAGGGGGCGATCGCTGCAGGAGGGGTTTGCAGCACCCCCCATATCGGGGGGAGAGGCTCCCATCACCTCCTTCTCACCCCCCCTCTTTTTCCTCTCCACACCTCACATCCCTCCTCGTCTTGTCCCCTCAAGGCTTGGTGAAGGAGCCCCCGGTCGCACCGCAGCAGAGCCCCGTAAGAAAACAGTTTCAGGCGGAAGGAGAGGGTGGTGTTTACTCGCAGAGCCTCTCCGTGCACTGGGTTTTCCCACTGCTGTGAGAAGTCCATGAGGATTGCCTTAGAATCACGGAACCACGGAATCGTTCGGGTTGGAAAAGCCCTTTAAGCTCCCCAAGCCCAGCCGTTCCCCTAACCCTGCCATCCCACCACTAAACCCTGGCCCTAAGCACCTCATCTGCCCGGCTTTTAAATACCTCCAGGGATGGGGACTCGACCCCTTCCCTGGGCAGCCCCTTCGCTCGCATGCCCACGAGCACCAGGATGCGTGTGTTCCACCACACGTCCCACCGTGTGTCCCACAGTACTGATACTGGCTGGCCTTTTAACCCTAGCTCTGCTGTTTATTTTTTTGGTGCCTTCCCACACACGCTTATGTGCATATTTAATTCATACCAACCTCAATATTTTTCTCAGGTTTCTGTGGGAGTGGGCTGGGACCTTGTTTGGTTTCCTCCTGGTTTAGCATTGGCCACCAAGCCAGATTTCTCAGGCAGGGGGATTTTGGGTGACCTACAGCCCTTCCACTGTGAAGCGGGGTGGGAACTGGGAACGCAGCTATGCACCAGCTGCCACCAGGATAAGCAGGTTGGGTTTATGGGGAGCAGAGGTATAGACTGATTTTTCCTCTGGGTTGCTGCCTGGTTCCTCCACTGTCCTGTCTCGCTGGGTATAGGTCTTGCCTCCTTACCAGCCCCAAATGCATCCCGCTGCCTTGGGAGGAATCCCACACCTTTGTGTTTTAAGGCCGGATACAAAGAAATAAGGTTCCCCGGTCTTGCAGCTTTCAGCGCGGGAGCACACCCAGCTCTCAGCCTGGGGCTGGTGTTCCTTGTGCTGCCACGGAGGTGCTGGCAGGGAAGGACTCGCGCACTCCTTACAAACGGTTATTGAAGCGCAAGTGTGAACGCCCGGCTGGGCACCGCACACTGGGGATGCCAGATCCTTCCCCACCCACACTGGGGACCCGGCGGCTGGCGCTATGCAGGAACCATCTCGGGGTGCGTGGGCTCCCCCTGCTCTTCCCAGCCTCCTGGAGGAGGTGTTTACACATTCTCGACTAAACTGTGCTGGCAGTGTCAGGGTTTCCCCCGGGCTCGCGGAAGAGCCTGGCTGTAAAACAAGATGCCAGCTTCGGGTCCTGTGCAGCCATGTGCCTGCAGCAGCAGCCATCGTCCTCTTCCTCACTGGGCTGCACTGTCGCTGCTCCAGCTGCAGAGCCCCAAGGTCCTCCACAGCAGATACCCCCATGTTTGCCCTGCATGGGGAAGGGTTGATCTGCTGCCCGTGCCTGATGTTCCCGACATTCCCATGAATCTCCCTTTTTGAGCACACCATCTTTGCGAAGGAGGGTCTTCACCCGCCCTGCGGGCACCTCCAACACATGCAGCACGTGCCGGGAACCTGCCAGTGTTGGCTTAGGTTTCCCCCAAGCGCTCGCATCCTCTTTGGAAACGTCAAAAAGCATCAATTCTCATTCCTCCAGCTCAGGTGGCAGCCCTTGTGCAGAGGAGGCTGGACGTGCCCGGGGCTGTTTGGCCATCCCAGCTGGCTGCAACATCCCATGGCACCACCTTCTCGGTGGGCACACCCCAGATGGACATGGGCTACACTGGGGCGCTGGGTGGTTGTAAGTGATGAGTAGGGCAGAGGTTTGTTTAATTGCCCCAGAGGTGGTTAAATCACCTGGCGCAATGCAAACAAATCTGTTGTAGCTCACGCGTGCTACAGCCTGAGGCGCAGGAGCTGCCGTGCCCAAGCTAAGGGGGCAGAAGAGGGCTGACATGGGGCGTTCTGCAGCTCATCTGGCCTGCCCCACCAAGAATCTGGCCCAGGGTCGCTCCTGGGGATGTCGTCCCTGCCTTATGCCCACCTCCCCCTGCAACATGCCCGTCATAACAGCATCCCCCGCTTCCCGCCTCGCAGGTGATCAAGTACACGCTGGACCCCGTCTGGAAGCCATTGACCGTGCCTTTGGTGTCACTGTGTGATGGAGATGTGGAGAAGCTGATAAAGGTAATAGGGGACCCCTCAGCTTGTATCGCAATGGTCCATCGGTTGTTAAACATCCCAAACCCTATGGCTTGTTTATCAAAAAACCCCCACGCAAACTAAACCAGAACCACCCCCAAAAACCCCAACCCCTTGTCAGGGGTCTCCAAAGGGAGAGTTTGGGAACCTCAGCAGGTCCCCTCGCAGGAGACGGTCACTGCGCCTGAGGCTGGGTCGTGCTCCTTCTGCCCTAGGTGGTGTGTTACGACTACGACAGTGATGGGGGGCATGACTTCATTGGGGAGTTCCAGACCTCGGTGGCCAGGATGTGCGAAGCCCAGGATGCCCTTCCGGTGAGTTCCAACGTGTTTTCAGGGAAGACTGAGGAAGGGGTTCTTCAGGGTGGTGGGGACTTTGGTACTTGCACTGACTCTCGACCTTCCTCCTCCCAGCCGCACTGTGAGTGACCCAGGCCACGGCCGTAGCTGAAGCATCAGAGCTAGGGAGAGGGCTAAGGCAGTCTGGGCTGGAAACAGGGCTCTGCTGGGATGCCTGAAGCAGCACCCATGATTTGGGGGGTGCCCTGTGGTTTGGGGGGCCAGAAGGGGAGGTGTGGGATGCTGCTGGGGCTGCCTCTGCTGCAGGGACAGCCTGGTCCCCAGGAGGGCCAGCACCTCTGCAACCCCATACCAGTTCTGTGGCCAAAGGTGTCCCTGTCTTCCCCCCAAACTCGAAGCACTGGCCAAAAGCCTTGGCAGATGACGCCTGACTGAAGGCACGGCGTGAAAACTCATGGATAAGCAGAGCTTTTCACTGCCGTTGTCGCTGGGGTTACAAAATCAGGAGGAGGTCTTGGCCATGATGTCGAGGGGTGTAAACCACCACGCGCAGCACAACGTGAAGAGTTTCCTGGTGGGGGAAACTGAGGCACAAAGGCACGAAGCATCCTGTCTCGGACTGCACAGGCTGATGGTGCTGGAGGCGAGGCAGGCGTTGAAGCTGTTTTCCCACTGGATTTACAGCCCACCGGCCTAGCAATAAAATCATCTTTTTTCTCCGTGGAACCCTGAGAGATGCTGGCTAGGAGAGAGTGGAACCGGCCTGGCTGTGCACTTGTGCCCCCTGCACAACGGGTCTGTCTGGGGATGGGCGCTCTGCCTCCTCCCCTTGCCTGCCTTGTCGCCAAGGCTCAGGTCCCCTCCACACCCCGGTAAAGCTGCTCCCCATCTGATGCCATGCTCCAAGCGGAGCTGCCGTGGGCGCCAGGCAGAGGAAGGTGGCTCCAAAGGCAAGCGGCTGCTGCTTGCCCTTCAGTGCCCTTCCTCCCTGGAGCAGCTCCTCATGACCTGCCTCATCCTGCCGTGTGGCCACGCTGATGAGGGTCACTGCAGAAGCATGGACAGAGATGCTCTTGCTGTAGACCAGGCACTGTATGCTGGCATCGAGCCACAGCCTGGCCGAGACAGGGGAAAGGCTCATTGCCACATCCAGGGCCACCACTGGGCTGGTCTGAGCAGGTCCAGGGCCATCACCAGGCTGGACTGAGCAGGTCCAGGGCCATAACTGCTGGTCTGAGCAGGATGCTGGGGAAGGGGGCACAGACCGGCCACCACTGTCCCATGTGGGAGCCATGGTCTGGGATGGACCATCTGCCTGGGTTTATTCAGAGTGAGGGGACTTTGTCAATAGTACCCGTATTTTGTTCAGCCTGTGAAATGCAACGCTTGCATTCAGAAACCTTAAGGATTTTAGAATTTCAATGTTCCCATTTTCCCACAGCTGGGAGAATGGACACGGCTTTCTCCCTGTGCTCCCCCTGCCCCATCCTGCCCCCTCCCCAAGACCAACCTGGCTGTAAACCTTATCCTTGGACGAGAGTCATTATTAAGTTTTAGATTATTAAAAAAAAAAATAATATTGCAGCAATTTTCTGAATATTCAAAAGTAATTTTGTTTTCCCAGAACTTTTGAGGAAATGTAGTGTCCTGCCGTAGTTCCATCCCATCCTGTTTATCCCTGTTGTACCCTGTAGTACCCCATGGCCTCATTGGGGTCTCAGCTGCCCTGCTCCACATCTTGGTCTGGCTGAAAGCCACCAGGAAGGAAAAGCAACCCCTTCCCAAGTAGTCCCTGTGCCTCCATTTCCATCACTCAATATCAGCAGCTCGCTAGCATTCATTTATGTCTCATCAGCGCTTTGAAACACGTGGAGGGAGGGTGCCTGCAGGATGCAGCCACTGGTGGCCCTGGCAGCCACTGGCACAGCCCAGCTCTCACACCAGTGCCTGCCCCTCGTGTGTTACAGCTCGAGCTGGAGTGCATTAACCCCAAAAAGCAAAAGAAGAAAAAGAATTACAAGAACTCTGGGACCATCATTGTCAAGTCCTGCAAAGTGAGTATGGAGCTGGAATGCTCCTCACCGAACTCAGGTCTTCCTGAGCTCCCCCTGCCAGCCCTCCTATCCCTAGTGCCCTTGCAGGGCACAGGACCTGTGGAGCATGAACAAAGGCATGAGCTCCTTTCTGCTTGGGTTTCGCTCCCCTTGGAGCATCTGAGTCACTGAGTTGCTGGTGCCACCCTGTGCTGGGATGGCTGCAGACCCCAGAGGAGATGTTGCTCAACATGGGCAGCATCTGCATGAAGCCCAAGCTGCGTGCGCCCACCATCTGCTTGGTGGCTCCTTAGGGGCAAGGGCTGGGTGCGAGTCGGGGAGGTCCTCCTGCTGCTGCTGAAGTCCTCCATTCGTATGGCAGCAGCACAGCGGGGAAGGTGCCGACACAGCTCTTCCCGCACTAGATCTGCAGGTGGTGTGAGATTGTTTTGGCCATGGGGACAGGATCTTCCATTCAGTTCACTGTGATGGACTTTTCCAGCTCTCAAGGATTCCTGCCCACAAGCCTCCCACCCCAGCTTTTGACCAACACATGGGCCCTGCTTGGCCCCACGTGCCTTGTGAAGCACCAAAACACTGCCATGGGAGACCCAGGTGGTTCATCCCATCCACTTTGCCACGTGGCTGAAGGTCCCCAAGGCCCATACTCGCAGTGACCGCCAGCTTGGGCACTTCCTGTGTGTCTATTGGGGTTTTTGTTCTGCAATGGTGAAGATTGCTGAAATGCTGCTTTTTTTGTTGGGTTTTCTTTCAGATAAGCAGAGATTTCTCCTTCCTGGACTACATCCTGGGAGGCTGCCAGCTGATGTTTACCGTAAGGACTTTTGATGGTAACATCTGTGCAACGGTCAAAGCTGGGGAGGGAGGTTCTGCATGCAAGTGGCTTCTTATGGCAATGAAAAGCTGCGCTGTTTTGCTGTGAAATGATGCGGCTTTGGGGCTTGGGGGGTCATTACTGCTGTGCTCAGCTCCAGCAGCACAGAGGGAGCTGCCTAGACTTTGGCCACAGACTCCCTCAAAGACCTTCTGACCCTTCACAAAACACTACAGGCTTCTCCCCCTGTGGCAGGGTTTAAGCACCCCCCAGTATTTTGTGGAAGCTCTCCCCATTTTGGAGCCAGCTGAGAGGCTCTGGACTGTTAATGAGATTTTTTTCTGAATTTTTACTGATGTTTCCCCCTTCTTCCCAGCTGGACTGTGGCTCGTCCAGAATAGCTAACCGAGGACACTACAACCCCAAGTGAAACTGCTGCAACGCAGAAGTGTGTGTGGGGTTAATTTCTGCAACCTTCTCTGGCGCGGTACCCGGAGAGCTGCGGGCACTCGCACTATTTCAGTTTGTGTTTTGTTGTTTTGGCTGAAAACACGCTGGGGGGAGAGTAGGAGGAAGAGTTGCCATAGGAACAGGAGCGATTGGGAGAGTGTTTGCTGTGCCGATCTGCTACCCTGTGCTAAGGCCTTGGTGCTGGAGAGGGAATAGAGGAGAAAAGCATGGAGCTCTTGTGTGAATTAGGCTTGAATGCAGGAATCTTCCTCCTCATCTAAATATCTGCCGGTTGTTGGAGGGTTTCTCACCTGCTCAAGGCATCTTTGGCCCAAAGACCTGGGTGGGTTTGCGATGGGTGTAGAAGTGCCTGAGGCAGGAGAAGGATGCTGCCACATGTGCTCCCATGATTTGGAAAGGCCTCTGGTGTCCTCCCTGCCGAGGGAGCCAGTGGGGAGAGAAGGGCTGAAGCCAACAAGAAGAGGAGCGTTGTGCCCGGCCGCTTGCCTCATGCAGCCCAGCTGCATCCCTCCCAAATTTGTTGCCCAAGTGCCGCTCTTGGTGACGTTGCTTGCATGAGGGGGGCACACGTCTGTCAGACTCCACTGAGCCCCCTCCCCGTGCCTCGGTTTCCCTCTTTCTTGCTGACCGTGCCCACAGTGGCTCTGCAGGAGCTGGGCACACGTGTGTGGGTCATACAGCAGCAAGCCGCAGGTTGGTAAGGCTGTAAGGTTGCTTGATGGAGAAGCTGGATTTTCCTAGAACCATAGGGTTTTCCTAGAACTATAGGATTCTTCCAACCTTAGGCTGGAAGGGACCTTTGAAGATCATCAGTACAAGCCCCCTGCTGAGGGCAGGGATGTCTTCCACTGGATCTGATTACTCAGAGCCCCGTCCAACCTGAGCTTGAGCACTTCCTGGGATAGGGCATCCACAACTTCTCTGGGCAACCTCTTCCAGTGCCTCACCACCCTCATCGTACAGCATTTCTCCCTTATCTCCAATCTGGGCCTCAAGTTGTGCCAGGGCAGGTTTAGGTTGGACATGGGGAAAAATTCCTTCCCCGCAAGGGCTGTCAGGCCCTGGAAGGGGCTGCCCAGGGAAGGGGTCGAGTCCCCATCCCTGGGGGGATTTAAAAGCCAGGCAGATGAGGTGCTTAGGGCCAGGGTTTAGTGGTGGGATGGCAGGGTTAGGGGAACGGCTGGGCTTGGGGAGCTTAAAGGGCTTTTCCAACCCAAACGATTCTGTGGTTCTATGATTCTATAAACCGACTTTCTTCCAGTTTGAAACCATGTCCCCTTGTCCTGTCAAGCCTGTTTGACCTGCTGCCCTGGCACAGGGTGGTAGCATGTCCTGGGCTGTGGCACCTTCTCAGCCCAAACGCAGTTCATCCTCTCCCGTTATGGATCCGGAGCAAAATCCCTCGCGAATCCCCTGAGCTCAGTTTAGCTGACAGAGTTATTTTGCGGTTTGCCTATTTGCTCAGCAGACTACACGAGCTCAGGGCTGCCCGTCACCTGCTCGCCTCTTCCCAGCTCTCCCTTCCCAGTCATTTCAGATCGGGTGGCTCAGCGTCTCGCCTTGCATTTCTCCAAATGCCTTTAAGCAGCAACCCCTGTTGAGGCAGGTGCCAAGCAAGCCCCTTGCTGACAAAGGCCCCGTTGCTCCCTGGGGAAGGGCGGCTGCAGGGAAGACTCCGCTCAGGGTTGTGACTCTTCTGTCAAAGACCTTGAGATCCAAATGCCCAGGTGACCCTGGCTGCTTTAGTGTCCATGGGGGCTACTCAGTTCCTGAGCTTAATGCCTGGGAAATGGGTCACCATTGAGGTGGTGGCGGCTTGCTCCAGCAGCAGAGGCTGCTTGGGGGCACCTTATGTGATCCTTGCTGGTGGAAAATGCAGGTGTGACATGGAACGGCTTTGCCTAACCTTGTGTTTAATCACCTCTTTTCAGGGAAAGTGAAGAGCTGAACTTTGTTCAACTTTTTCAAATGTTTGAGGCTTGGGTCTTGATGGGGCTGTGTGTGGACCTGGGAGGCTCGGTGGCTGGGTCTGCAGTGGTGTCTGCTAACAGAGGACAGCTCCGTGCTTCTCTCTCGCCCCCCAGGTTGGGATCGACTTCACGGCCTCCAATGGGAACCCACAAGACCCCTCTTCCTTGCACTATATCAACCCCATGGGCACAAACGAGTACCTGTCGGCTATCTGGGCTGTCGGCCAGATCATCCAGGACTATGACTCGTAAGCACCGTCCCCTTCTGCCGCCCCCCTGCTCTGCGGCTGTTGCCCTGGTTCCCACGGGGCTGCTGGCTTGCATGTGCCCTGATTTCCCACCTGCAAAGCCAGGGCTGAATAACACCCGGCTTTTAGAAAGTGCCTTGAGTGAAAACAGCCATAGGCGTTGGGATGGGGGAGGCGGACAATGTAAGGACATGGTTTCCCCTCTCCTCCCACTGCGCCGTTGAGTGGAAGGGTGCATTGGCGGGGGGGGGAGCGTCCTTTACCGAGGGCAACCAGAGGCCAGCAGCTCCGGGGCTTGCTCAGCGTAGCAGTGGGTGCCCTTGGCTTGTGGTCTTGGCTGTTGTTCCCCAGCCGCCCTGGGATGTGCAACACAGAAAAATATCATCTTAGACATCAATAGAGAAAACAAAGCAGGGTTCTGTTGGTCTCACCATGCTGGCTTTCATGGCCAAAATGGATAGCCAATTTTTTTTTAAATATCCAGGCTTGCACATCTGCAAAAGACTCAGGTGTTTGGGCAAGAGGATGCTCCTGGCGCCTGCGGGCAATGGAGCAAAGCCGGACTCTTTTCTCCCTAAATATCAAAAGCCAAAGGGGAATAGCCCCTCTGTCTCTGTACTCTGAGTTTTAGAGGCACTGCCTTGCTTTGGGAGAGGGGAAGGCTGGCACTGTTCTTAGCTGGTGCTTTGTCTGTAGTTGGGCACTGAGCAGCTGGCAAGAGCCATGCAAGCCAGCTGTGCCTGTGCCTGAATACACCCGAACATTTTTCTTCTCTTTTAGAGACAAGATGTTTCCTGCTCTGGGATTCGGCGCCCAGCTTCCGCCAGACTGGAAGGTGAAGCGTTGTTGTCACCTGCATGGTTGAGATGGGTTTGTCCTTGTATTGCCCAGGCAGGAGTGGAGCTGCCAGGGCTTCCTGGCTGGCTCAGCTGGGGAAAAGCTGCCAGGCAGAGGGGGAATGGGCGGACATGGGATTTCAGCTGGTGGAGAGTGGGTGGGCGGCGAGGTGGGGATGGGGCGTGGGCAGCCCCTTCCTCCCTTCCAAGCTGGCTTGAAAGAAGCAGCTCCCTAGGGCTCATGGGCAGAGCCAGGCATTGGCTCATTTCCCTGGCAGGGGGCAGGAACAATTCTGGGCATGGGGAAGGGCCCCTGGATGAGCAGCAGAGCTGGGAAGGGGGCTGGGTGCTGGGTAGCTGCAAGGTGATGTTGCAGGGGCAGAGCCCCCAAGGTCTGGAGCAGAGAGGCTTTCCCAAAAGCACTTTGATCTTTTGCTGGAATTTGGCACTGAGGGGGTTAAAGGCACCCTGGTCCTGCAAGGTCTGAGCTGGAGCATCCTGGGCATCAGGAGTTGGGCAGGGACTGGGGCTGCTCCGGCATCTGAGGGAGCACTGTGTTCTGAGAGGGTGCACGGGGACACCACCACCTTTCGTTACTGGCTGGGTCTTTTGGCCGCTCGTTGCTCGCACCCTTAATGTGCATTTTCTTTCTCCTTGCTGTCTTTGAGACATCCCAGCTTCAGGCTGGGGTTGAGCCTCAGCGAGCCCTTTGTGTTCTTTGGGGGGGAGCTTTGCTCTGGGCTGAGGGCAGGAGGGCATGAAAGCCATGAGCAGACGAGTCGGGCCGGGGAGCTGGTGGCTGCCAGCCATGGAGGCTGGGGATGTCCTGCCTGCTCCGGCTTTGTGCTTTTCTCCGCTCTCCCGGCAGCCAAAATCCGTGTGACTCAAGCAGGAGTGCTTGTTTGCCAGCCACTGGGGGAGATCCCTTCATGTGCACTTTGGAGCTGATTCATCCTCCTTGGCCGGCAAATGTCTCTGGTCTGTCACTTCACCACTTTCAGTGGGAAAATGTTGATAGGCAGCTCCCAAGGGCTAACAGCCAGCTGCCGTCAGGGGTTTATTACTTTGGTGGAGGAATGGAAATGGAAAACGTGGTGGGGACGGGAAAGGTCCGGCGGCCCTGGATGCCTGGGGGAATGGGTGAATCGTCCCGGGAATGCTGCCGATGGGGGGGTTGGTGCCTGTGGGAAAGGCATTGCTCGGCTGGAAAGGGCCCTTCTGCAACACTGGAGGCAGGTGCCAGGTAGAGGATGCTGGCTGGGGGGCAAAGGGATGCTACAGACATTTCCCACTGCTCCCACAGGCCTGGGGATGCTCTGTAAGTGCTACCAGAAAAAACACCTTGTTTTCCCCCAGAATAATGCCTAAGCCTGCGTAAACCCCGGCAGAGAGCAGCTCTGCCTTCCCAGGTGCTTGGCCTGTGCCTACAGGTCACCCTAATGCCCGGGGTGACCATCAGGTGTCTCTTGTTAGGAGTGGGGGCATCCCCCTGCACCGCCCCAGCCTGCAGCTTCATCCCTCCCTGGCCTGTGGGGTCTGTGCATCACCGGCTTGGCTTGCTCGTTAAAGGGGTTTTGGTAATCAAGGCTCATTGGGTAATTTCCAAGCCAAAGCAGTGGTTCTTCATTGAAACCCATGCCCTGTGTTATGGCAGGGAGCAGCGTGGCCAGTAACGCTCCCCGGGGGATGAAACGGAGGAAGGGTGGCTGTTGTGCCCGAAGGGTGGCTGTTGTGCCAGTGGGCCCGAGTGCAAACCGGGAAGATCGTTAGGAGATAAGAGCCGTATTAATGGCGCTTTGTGCTCCTGTTGCCATGGCTCCCCCAGCACTTCCCGGGCGCCCGTCAGAGTTGGAGCGAGATGTTTTGCACACAACAGTCTCGTTGGAAATGTCAGAGAACATCTTGCAGTGTAACAGCTCTGTGCAGAGCCTGGAGCAGTTTCCCAGCAGGGAAGGGGAGAGGGAAGCAGATGGGTTGTGGTGTCTGGGGGATGAGCAAAGGCAAGGCGGCAGCAGAGAGGGTGATGCTTAACAGCAGAGCCCCACCACTCGCCCTGGGTTTGGGAGACAGAACAGGGAACAGTTTAGGTTGGAAGGGAGCCTTAAAGGTCATCTCGTCCAACCCCCCTGCCATGGGCAGGGACATCTTCAACTGGACCAGGTTGCTCAGAGCCCCGTCCAGCATTGAATGTTTCCAGGGATGGGGCCTCCACCACCACTCTGGGCAACCCCTTCCAGTGTCTCACCACCCTCATTGTAAAGAATTCCTTCCTGGGTATACCCAGTTCAATGGGGTTGGCCAAAGGAGATGTCTTTGTGCCCACAGAGCTCAGCCTCTGCAGCTGAAGCTGGCGGCTTTGCCAATGTCCCCCCGCTCAGGGCTTTCCCTCCATTTGCCTTTTTTTCCTACATAGGGAAGCTGAGTTGTGGCAGGGGTGGGATGGCTGTGGGAGGTGGCAGAGACCCCTCAGTGGGGCTGGTTAGAGCTGCTGCTGTCCCCATGCAGGGCTGGAAGGGGACCCAGCCTGGCCACAGCCAAATGCCTTACCCCTTGGGGTGGTTTGAAGGAGTACCTCCTGGCAGGTTACCGGTGAATAAAACACCGCATACCTTTAATCAGACTCCACAGAAACTGGTTTTCAAAATACGAGCTAAATAGGGCATGAAATCTGGGGTTTTGTTGTTGATTTGAAGACTTCCTGTTGAATTTTGTAGCTGATATAGATATATATAGATATATATAATCTGTAAAAACTCCAGAGGAGCTTTTGAAGCACTTCTGCCACACAGGGGATCCAGGCCGTAGACGGTGAGGTACACAGCTCCAAACCATTCGGTTGCTGCTTGTGAGAAAGAGAAAACCTTCTCCTGCAGTGCCAAACATGGGATAATCTGGCTTGCCTTGCCAATAAATACCCGTACGGCAGAATCCCAAACGCCTTCTAAAAAACAAAAATTAGAAAAAGCGAGCCCTTTGCAACTGCAAATCAAGAAACGTGCCTTTGGATCTGTTGCCCAAAATTGAGGTTTCCGCAGGGAAGGGCGCATGCAAAGCCCAGTCATGCGTTTCATTCTGTGTCTCTAGCCCTGGGGTTACTGGTGGCCAGGAGCGTTACTGGTGGTGCCCAGCAGGCATGGGGATACCAGGCAGGCTGCTGACAGCCCCCAGGCCGACAGCCCGTCTGCTTTGCGGTGTGGGGAGGGCTTTGCTTGTCCCACTTCTGTTTGGCTGCTGTTGCCCACCCCACAGCCTCTCATAAAAATCATTTCTGCTGCTTTCGACACAAAGCCCAGCAGAATGGAAACTCTGAACCAGCTGTGTGTTGCTTTTGCAGCCTCAGGAGGACTTCTGCATTGTTGTGGCAGCTTTATGAGCACGCACGTCCCAGAGCCATCCCCTGGCTGAGCAGCTCAGCAAACCACCACCCTTTGGAGAGGGAGAAAATATCCTTGCTTTGTAACTCTGGCACAAACAGAGCGGGAGCTTTTTGTCTCGGAGCCCTTGAGCTGGTGGCCTGAAAGCCCAGATCACCTCCTTCAGCCATCAGAGGTGCTGGAGGCAGCAGTCACGTGGCCTTGGTGCTCCCGAGAGTCTGTTTGCTTCCTAAGGTGCCTGAACTGCAGCTGGCAGAGTGAGGAATTCCTCAGCTCCAAGATCGGAGGGTTGTTTCCCTAGCTCCCAGATCTGATGGTTGTTCTCCAAGCAAGCTGTTGACCCACGCCAAGGCTGGCAAGGTTCACATTGGAGGCCAGGAGTCCTGACCCCCTCTTGCACCCAGGCCATTGAGCTGCCCTACTTTCGCTGGCAGAGATAGGTTCAAAGTAATGGGTTGCCCAATGTTTCGGGGTTTCTCTCTGTAGGGTCTTCCTGCAGAAGTAGATGAGGGAGGTTTTGCGATTCACAGTCAGCGCTGCTGTTGGGTTTCTCTGGCCAGGCAAGTGTGAAAAGCTGGGGACAGGGGCGCGCAAGGCTATCTGCTGTCCTGCAGGACCTCCTTGTGAGAGCATCTCCCTCAGCTTGGGAGAAGGTGGTGGAAAACCTGGAGGATTTTGCACCTGCCTTGGCGGAGGGGTGGTTTCATGGTCAATGAAAACCAGCCCAGACCACGCTGGGTCTTGCTGTTCATGCACCTCTCCTGCGCTGCCTTTCACCCTCACCATGACCCAGATGATGAAGGTAATTGTCTGCTGGCGTTGTCATGGGGGCTGATGTGCCAGGCAGGCCTTCAGCCCAGATCCCTTGGTGCCTGCCACCCTCCTGCACCACCATACCGCTTGCAGGGAGATGAGGAACCGGAATGCTGACAAAACTGGGGCTCCCTGTGGTGTTAATTGAGTTTTCTCCCCTTCTACCCTGTGATGGGATGAAGGAATTCTTCCCGGTGCCCAGTGAGGCGCCCAGCTGGCTGAGGGCAGCCCTTCCACAGGCTTTCCCTCTGGGCAGCCAGTGACAACCTGGTGTCAATAGCTGTAGGAGAATGAATGCTGTGATGATTTCAGGTGGTTCCACGATCAGGGATGAAGGCCAGAGGAACCAGTCCGCCCTCAAACGCTGCTCAGTCCTGACCACCTCTGAATTTGCTGCTCTTCGCTGTTTGGGTAGTGGAGGGCTGGGATGGACCTGGATGGACCTGGTCTGCAACCACCGGTTCCTGCCCCAGGGGAGCATCAGACCCAAAGCAGCCTTGCAGCATCAGACCAACCGAGAGCGACCGTCCAGCTGCCCTCCATGTTAATCCGGTTCTTTTCTTCTCCACAGGTATCCCATGAGTTCGCCATTAACTTCAATCCCACAAATCCCTTCTGTTCAGGTAAGTGTCCTCAGGACTTCCATCAGGTCTTTAATGCTCCTTAGATGCTTTTGGTGCCCTGTGGCCTCTCCTCCACCTTTCCCCAATAACTCCTCTCAGGAATTTTTCAAGGCCTGCTCAGAGGCAGATGTTGACAGCGAAGCAGAGTGAGTGCGAGGGGAACATTCCCAGGAAAGCAGAGAAAATTTGGGGGCACATAGGAAGGCCCAGGGTAAAACGCAACTGGATTCAGACAGGGTGAAACACACCCTTGTGCTGCGGCCCGGGGCGTCCTACCAGCCGCCCATGGCTCCAGAGCAGCTGATGGCAGCCACAGCTGAAGAGCTGCTCGCATTGCAAGGGCCACTGTGGGCTGCAGATGGTGTCTGCTTCACCCCAGCAGAGCAGGGGCTTGGGCAGCCCCCGAACCTCATTGGCAGGATCACAAGCGTCGGCTTTTCTGCTGCCTTTGCTTCGTTCCGTCCCTCTCCGGTAGCTAGAAAGCATTCATTGGACCTGACTTACTGCACGCATTTTGGATTACTCCCACACATCCTGTGGGGAGAGCAGCCACTTACCCTGTTCCACTGTGGCAGAAGCAGAAGGGCCTCCGATGACCCACAGGTCCCAAATGCAGTTTGGGAGCTCTGAGGGTGCTCTGGGGCTGTTTTGCTTCTCTCCACTGCCTCTGCCCCCTGTCTGTCTGGTTTTTGGATACACGCGGAGGCCAGGAGTTGCTTTTCTTTTTGCTTCCCCTCTTTGGTGGATTCTGAGATTTCTGTGGAAATGCAAGGAAAGCCCCCCATTGTGGGTGAGGGTGCACTCACCCTGGAGGGTCTGAGCAGCCACTACAAAAAAGCAAAGCCCTGGTTTAGGAGATTTGAGGTGGATGAAGCCTGTGGAGCTGGATGAGTTGGGGCGGGGGGGGGAACTGTCTGAGTTCAGCTCCCATGGCAGCGTTAGCTTAGGATGCTTAATTTGGCTGGTGGGGGCCTGCGCTGTGGTGCCTTGTAATGCCTGGCTTCTCTGCTTTCCCTGAAGGTGTGGAGGGGATTGTCCAAGCGTACTCAGCCTGCCTGCCCCACATCCGCTTCTACGGACCCACCAACTTCTCCCCCATCGTCAACCACGTGGCCCGCTTTGCGGCACAGGCCACCCAACAAGAGGCTGCATCTGTAAGTCCCTAAGAGCCCGCAATGTGACAGCAATCCCAACCACTTTGGGCAGGGGAGGACTGAGCTTGGTTTCATGTCTTGCCCTTTGCTGTGGGCAGGGAGGCAGGGTCTTCCCAGCAGGACCATCCCCAGGGTCCCCGCAGCTGCAGGCCCTGGGTTGGCTGTTGTCATTCCAGATGGAGAACATGGAGTCACAGCAAATGCTGCTTAGGAGGAAAAAAATAACTCAAAAACTTGACAACAGTCGACAAAACCACAGCTGTGGAAAATGAGAAATTACTGGGGAGAGGACTGAGACAAGGGTGGGAGATGCCGTGAGGTGGGCATCCCTTGGATTTATGCAGATGTCTTGAGCACCATCTTAAATTTTGGTGCCTTTATCCCAAAGAGGATCAAACAGCCCCGGGAATGGTCATGCGAGGGTTGGCCAAGACACTCAGCAGCATGAAATGGCTCCGGTATGAGAAGCAGCTCCTGTATGGGAAGCAATAAGGCTGGCACCGTCTGGCCCAGGAAGTCAGCTGGGGATCTCAGAGGCGCATAAAATCGCAAATGGTGAAAAAGCAACTGATTTCTCCCCAGTTCTTGCTGGGAAGGCCTACCAGGCTCCCCAGGAACGGCTGGGTAATGGGCATTCAACGGGCCCATGTGCGGTGGAGTCAGGGATGGTGCCGGGGCAGAGGACTGAAGGTCTGGAGAGGGAAGGGGTGTGCTCATGGCCAAGCATAACCCAAGGGCCATTCCCCACTGTGCCAGGGAGAGCTTGGGTCAGGAGTCCCTGACGTGCACCACCCAGGAGCCAGCAGGAGGCAGGAAGGGATAACTTTGTTCTGTCCCCATTTTTTTCCTAAAACATCCTCTGCTGAGCTCCAAGGGGCTTTGCTCTGGGGAGGCAATATCTCCTTCTGGATAAGCGGGGAAGGATAGTCCCAAGGAGCATGGTCCTTGCTTTCCCAACGGCCTCCTGCTCCTTTGTGCCACGGGGCTGTCCTGGGGCAGGATGGACCAGGTGGTCCTGGGGGACCAGGGGCATGGAGGACAGTGCTGCTGCTGCCATAACCCAAGTGGGAAACACAAGCAACAGGGAAGAGGTTGAGCAGGACCTCAAACCTTTGGCATGTTTCCCTTCGACACCCAGCAAACAGCTGGGGGTAGCATCTCCCACTCTGGGAAGGTCTCCCAGGGAGATTGGGGGGGGCACATCCAGCCTTGCCAAGGAGAGAGCAAGTCCACATCGTGGCATAAAGTGCGGTGTTGCTGATGTGGCTGATGGCCGCATCTGAACCTTTTGCTGGGAGAAGACCTTTCCGCTTTTTCCTTCCAAATAGCTTTTTCTGTTTGAGGGGGAATTGCAGAAAACCACAGGATGGCTCGGTCTGATCACTGCTTTTCACACCACTTGGCCAAGCAGCGGGCTCAGGGCCAGGCTTCGGGTTCCCCTGCGGCTGCTCGGCTGCCCTGGAAGCCCCCCTTACTCCATCGGGCTGTTCCCATCCCTGTGTCAAGAAGCTGCTCATTAGCTCGGTTGCACTGGGCCACAAGGGAGCCGGCGCCAGCGTGGGTTTGGAAGGTGAGACCGTTGGTTGCCAGGGTGCCTGCGTGCGCCGGGGGGTCCAGCCCTGCCAGTGGTGGCCAGGGTGTCCTCTTGGGGGTGCGAGGAGCGTTTGAAGACCATGAGCTGGAGCTCACTCACATCCCTGTGGCAGCAGGTCTGGGCCCTGGCTTTTGCTGGCCCCAAGCAGCTCAGCCTGGGCATCGCCCCAGGGTGAAAGCTTCCCTGGTTCCTGCCTGGAGCAGAGCTGTATCACAGCCAGAGCCTCCTCCCCCAGGGGACCTTTGCCTTGGGTGACACTGTTCTTCCCAGCTCTGGGCACAGGGTAACACTGAAGTTGGTTTAATTCAGGACAAATCCAGGTTGCTCATTTTTTCTGTTCTCTCTCTTGGCCTGGGTGGGGGAGGGAGAAGCCCACAGGCTCCGCACTGAGCAGAAGCACTAATCGCATGCAAATTGCAGCCCTCTGTTGGCACTAATAGTTTAATCAAGGGCAGTTTTAAACCATGGGCACCGATAGTGCTGTCAGAGGCAAGCCTGTGTTGGCTCGGGCTTTTTTCTTTTGGAAGCACAGAGCGTTATTGATGAGGGATCTCGCTCCTCCTCGGTCTTCTCTTCCACCCCATCTTCAGCAGCATGTGGCAAAACCACCCTGATGCTGCTGGCTTTGAGGACCTACCTTCCTCTCCTCTTCCTCCCACTCTTGCTTGCTCCCAACATTTCAGATAGATAAACCCAAAAACCCTCATAGTTTTTCCATGGCAACGCAGATCACAAACACCGTTCCCGTTCTCAGCTGCTCTCCTCAAGGTTTTACTCTTCCTCCCGTGCTGATTCCCAGCCAGGATCAGGCCCCATTCACTTGTCCTGCTTCCAGTGACAACCAGTGCTGGCCACCATGCAGGAGCACACAGGTCTTCTCCTGGCAGAGGTCTTTTACCCTCTGGACTCGGCTGGTGGGGTCCTGCTCTCCTGACCTACACCTCTCCATGATTTGCTCTGAAAAGTTCAGATTTAGGGGAAAAAACTAAGCCTTGGGCACTGCTCTTCCAGCAGGGCCAACGCCTCGGAAGGGGTTGGAGTCAGAAAGGGGCTGGCTGCCTACCCCAGCTTGGGAAAACCTCCCTACCCGTGGCCTTGGGGTGTGTTTAAGCTTGCCCCGGCCACATTTGTACTTGGTGTTCAGCACCCAAGAGCATCGAGGGAAAGTGACACTGAGGGAAGGTTTCGGGAGATGGGGGCTGGAGGAAGAACAAGAAAACGGGCTTGGGGCTGTGCTCCCTCACTTGCTTTTCTGGGACGGCTGCACCAGTGGTTTTCAGAGGCAATGGAAAGAATGAGGAGAGGAAAAAAGGGCTTTAATGCACTTAAGTGCTGGTTTTCGTCATTTCCCCAGCGCACACAAGCTGTGTAATGTGCCACTACTTGTCCCTGAGGTGGAGATGGGCTTTTGGGGGTCCACATGCCCCGGATTTGCTGAGCTGGGGCCAGCAGGGCCGTCTGCCCGCTTGCTCGTCCTCTCCACTTCTGTGGACCAGCCCCAGCGCCCTCCTTTTCCCGCAGGAAGGGGAGCGGGTGCCCACCCTGCTGCTCTGACAGCCCCCAGGCTTTTGGGTGCCCTCTGCACCCCGCCTTGGTGCCTCCGAGACCCAGAGTTTTGTACAGGAGAGGGACAAGCCCTGAGCCTGGGACGGGCCCCTGCGCCCTGCAGCCTGGCACTGGGATGTGGGAGATGCTCCCCATTGGCGTGGGGAGGTGCCATGGGGCTGCCCTGGAGTGTGCCCCACTGCCTGTGCCCGGGGGCGGGTGGTTCATCTCCCTGCAGCGCTCGTGCCCCAGCCCCAGACTCCTCCTGGCCATGACACAGAAGCTCTGCACAGGTTGGGCTGTTTGGTTTTCCCATCATTAAGTACAGTAAATCAGCAAAATGCTTTGGCGTGGGAGCTGGTTTGTCATTTGGTTATTGTCTTCCAAAAACCAGGGGGACAGGAGCACCCAAAATTTCTGGGTGCTGCTGAAAGAGGACGATGCCAGCTGTGCTGGGGAGGGGGGACCCTCACGCTCCCAAATCCCTGGGGGACCTGTGGAGCGTCCCAGCCACTCGCACCCCCCCCAGGCTCTGGCTGCAGCCTGAGGGTGCCCTGACTGGGTCTGACCCTCCGCCCTCCCCTCCACAGCAATACTTCATCCTCCTCATCATCACGGATGGGGTGATCAGTGACATGGATGAGACGAGACACGCCGTGGTGCAGGCATCCAAGCTGCCCATGTCCATCATCATTGTGGGGGTGGGCAATGCCGACTTCGCTGCCATGGAGTTCCTGGATGGGGACAGCCGGGTGCTGCGCTCCTACACCGGCGAGGAGGCCATGCGTGACATCGTCCAGTTTGTGCCCTTCCGGGATTTCCGCAACGTGAGTGTGGGCAGCGGGGCAGGGAGGATCGCAGGCAGAAATGGGGTCTGAAGCCTGGAAACGCCCCTGGATGTGGAGCAGCCCTTGTGAGGGGCAGCGAGGGGCACAAGAAGAGGGCTGGCACCCGCCTGCCTCACCCTGGCCCTGAATGCCACATCCCTTGGCGATGCTGGCATAGAACCATGGAATCATTTGGGTTGGAAAAGCCCTTTAAGCTCCCCAAGCCCAACCATTCCCCTAACCTTGCCATCCCACCACTAAACCCTGGCCCTAAGCACCTCATCTGCCTGGCTTTTAAATCCCTCCAGGGATGGAGGCACAGACCAGGGAAATCAGTGCCACAGGCAGGGCCAGCAGCGCTCTGCACCCGCACGGCATGCTCCATCTGAGCAGCCCCCTGCCTCTGCCACCTCTCATCAAAAAAACCCCCTGTTAATTACAGCAGGGTAACAGCAGCGAGCTGGGGCAGTGCTGGGCTCGCGGCCCTTGCCACAGTCCCGTGCCAGTGTGTCCTGCTCAGGCCTCGTCCGGCACCCGTGACACCCCACATGCTGAGGACTTAATGCTGAATTGCCCCAGCCTGGGGGGGGAGCCCTGAGCCCCCTGGTCCCTTCCCAGTGCTGGGGTGGTGCCGGCACTGGCCCTGCATGCATCCCCTCTGGCTTCCTGCTGCCCTCCGTTGTGCATTGGAATAGAGAGATGCAGTCCCCTGCCCATTTGGGGGCAGGAGTCAGCCCTGGGGCTGGTGCTGGCGCGGGATTGCCAGCAGCTGCAGAAAATCAGCCTGTGCTTCTCTGCCCCCTTTTTGCAGCTCCCCACCCTGCTCCCATTTCTCCTGCTGCTCCTCAATACCTGTTTTTTCTAACCCACCGAGGATGTTTTCTTCCTCCCTGCCAGCAAATTCTCCCCTGGAGGGAAGGTGCAGAGAAGGTGTATGAAATGCTGGCTGCCGGTAGGCTCGGGGGGGGGAGGGGGGGTATTAAATGAACCACCCTGCTCCAGGGTCGGTGACAGCCCTGCCGCGGTTGCTTGGTCAGTCCCTGTGGCCATTCCAATGCCGGCGTTTGTGTCTCACCGCCTGCAGGCACCCAAGGAGACCCTGGCCAAGGCCGTGCTGGCAGAGCTGCCCCAGCAAGTCGTGCAGTACTTCAAGCACCAAAACCTGCCCCCCATCACCTCAGAGCCGGCGTAGAGCTGTGCCAGGCTGCGCCCCCTGCATGCCGCCGGAGCCCCTCACTCCTGCCGGAACTGCATCTTCCACATGCCCTTCGGAGAAGCCCACCCTCCCCGAAACACTTTGTACTTCTTAATTTAATTGCTAAGTTCTTAAAACTCACCCCAGAGAAGCATCTGGGTTTGTTTTGTACAGTCCCAGCCCCCAGTAACACTAAGCTGCCAGGCCATGCCCTGGCCCGGCTCCACTGTTACTGCTCAGTATCGAATGTACTTTGTAGGATTTCAGTGGAACGGGATACAATTTTTACAATCAAAACTTGCTTTTTCCAAGCACTGAAATGCTCAATGTATTATTATCATCCGATGAACTGGTCACTGTATAGTTCCCGTATCCGTGCTGTCACGCTCGATGTCCATTTTTATACCGTGTACATGTTAGATTTGTTATACTCAGGTAAATAAAGAAACTTGGACATTTAAAACAAGGCTCTCCTGGATGTCCAACCCTGTTCTCCTGCCCGCTCCAACCCGGATCAGTCCCGGGCTGCCAAGGGCAGTGTGGAGGAGGGCGATTTACAGGAGGCAGAGGTGAAGGTGGGTGTCCTGGGGAGGCAGCATCCCCTCATTGCCCCCGCCCTGTCAGCTCCAGTGCCTGCCCAAGCCGAGGGGCTTGGGAAAACACCGGCGAACCCGCAACAACCCGCCCAGCAGCATGTTTGTGGTTCACTGCTGCTTCATTGCTAGAAATTTTTCCAGGATCAAGTAACAAAAGCTCCCTGCGGCCTGGGAGGAGATGGGCCAGGCAGCGAGATCCTGCTCTCAGCAGCTCCTTGGAGCGGCTCATCAGCATCACGCCATTGCCAGCGCTAATTGCTGCCTTCCTCCGTTGTTAACAAGACGGGGCTGGCAGGCAGAACCGAATCTACAACTCCAAACTCAGGCAGCCCTGACCTCCCTCCTCCCACTTAAAAGCTCCCTGCGGCCTGGGAGGAGATGGGCCAGGCAGCGAGATCCTGCTCTCAGCAGCTCCTTGGAGCGGCTCATCAGCATCACGCCATTGCCAGCGCTAATTGCTGCCTTCCTCCGTTGTTAACAAGACGGGGCTGGCAGGCAGAACCGAATCTACAACTCCAAACTCAGGCAGCCCTGACCTCCCTCCTCCCACTTGCGATGGGAGGTGGGCGTCTGGAAGCGAAGACCGGAGCCGG